CATTGGGCTCCCTGATCATTGGGGAACCTAATTTTCCCTCTATCTCTGGCTACTGCTCCCCATGCTTGTGCTCTCTCTCTCTCTCTCTCTGTCAAATAAATAAATAAAATCTTTAAAAAAAGAAAGAATCAGAGAGTATTGTTTTGTTCTGTAGTTCTGTGTTTACTAAGATTGAGAAGTTTTCATGTATTTATTGATCATGTCTTTTTTCTTTACTGATTGCTCATTCATATCTTCCATTTTCTCTTGGGAATTCAATTTTTATCTTAATGTATGAGAGCTTTTTCTACAGCAAGGCTGATGTTCCTTTGGGTAATATTTACACTGAAAAAATTCCATTTGTCTTTAAAAAAAAAGACTTTATTTATTTATTTATTTATTTATTTATTTATGAGAGAAACAGAGAGCTTGAGAGAGAGCTCGAGTGGCAGGGAGAGGCAGAGGGAGAGGAAGAAGCAGCCTCTCTGCTGAGCAGGGAGCTTGACGTGGGGCTTGATACAGTACCCTGAGATCATGACCTGAGCTGAAGGCAGCCACTTAACTGACTGAGCCACCCAGGTGCACTCCCCCCGCCCTTGTCATTTTTATTTTCATTAATTTTTTTTTTTTTACTATTGTTAGTTACCTAGATATTTAATTTTTTAAAAGATTTTATTTATTTATTTATTAGAGAGAGACAGTAGGAGAGAGCATGAGAGGGGAGAAAGTCCGAGGGAGAAGCAGACATCCTGTGGAGCTGGGAGCCTGATGCAGGACTCAATCCCGGGACTCTGGGATCATGACCTGAGCCAAAGGCAGTTGCTTAACCAACTGAGCTACCCAGGGGCTCAGATATTTTAAGTTTTTCATAGTTCAATCAACTATTCTGTTATTTCTTGGTTTCTACTTTTGGTGTTTTGAAGGTTCTTCAATCAGATATTTAAATATTTACCTATTTTTCTAATATATGGAATTCACTGAAAAATTTAATCACCTTGAATTTATTGTGATGTATGGATAAGGGTCTTTTTTTTTTCTGAAGTAGCTAAATATTATTCCTGCCTGATGTGATTCTGTCATGCATGTTTGATTTTGCTGATAATTTAGGTCATCTGTTAACATGTTGGAAAATAACACATCCAAATAGCTTAACATGTGTCTGCCTCTAAAGGGTATTAAAATACTTATTAATGATTTGAAGAAAGTATATTCTCTAGTCTTTGAGGGGGAAAAAAAAAACAAAGCCACTTAAACACTATTCCTCTCTCACATAATTGCTATTTCTACTTCTCATAGCAAAAGGATTAACATCCCAGATGCCATTGTGAGAAACCTCTAGCAAAGGCACTAGTGTTGTGAGCATTCTAACACCTTCAAACACGAACTCTTTGTCCATCAGTTCACTCTTAGTATGAAGATACTAAAGATACTTGTAAAGATACAAGATGTGAGTATGCATGTATCTTTTTCCCCTAGTTTAGGGCTTTATTCTTTTTTATGCTTTACTTTTTAATTGAATTATAACTGACATATAATGTTATAGTAGTTTCAGGTGTACAACACAGTGATCTGATATTTTTGTACATTACAAATTAATCATCTCTGTAAGTCTAGTTTCTATCTGTCATAGATAACACTATTACAATTATTGACTATAGTCTCTATGCTGTGTATTACAACCTCTTGACTTATTTATTTTATAACTGGAAGTTTGCTCCTCTTAATCCCCTTCACCTATTTGGCCATCCCCCTGCCTCTCTCTCAGCTGGCAACCACCAGTTTGATCTGTGTGAGAGTAGATAAATACCTTTAAGCCTCTAAGTTATTCCCATGAGTAACTTCTCTATTGATTTGTAAGCAAGAATGCTTATGCTCATTTCTCCTAACTTGTTTTAAGCATGGTATATATATATTCAAATCTCTTTTATTTTATGTGTATTCTCCTTAGCTTTATAAATGTGTCCATATAATTCTAGGAACATATGATGAACCGTATTCTTGTAGTAGGTTAAATATCTGCATTTCTATTTTGTCAAAGTAGACCAGTCCTGCAATAAACGCATTTATTCGTTTATATCTATGTGTGTCTGTCTCTGCCTACCTACTGAGATTGAAAACAGCCAAATCTAGTAAGAGTAATGAGGAAATCCTAATAAAGTATCTCAACAAGAACAGTATATAAATAAGCATTTGTTATTTATGGATAATCATCAAGTTTATGCTCATAAAATAAGTATCTCCATATGTGTTAATGGTCTTAGATACAAAGCATGCTGATGACTTTCAGAGAGATCTGGGCTTATTATTAATCTGATGAGATCTTCAATTGAATTTTCTATGCCTTTTGTACTCTCACATGTAAGATTTTGTTAGTTTACCCACTAATAAATGAAACAATTCACTGAAGTTTGATTTCTCTTTTTTTATTATTTTATATCTCTTCTGCAATGGGACCCTATACCAACTCAACATAATATTTGTAAAAGAGAAAAACAACAAAAAGATAATTCATGAACTATACTAGATTTATACATCATTCCATCTAGAAACCTCCTATAAGGAATGACATAGAAAAGCAAAAATAAATGTTAAAATAGGAAGCAAGATTGAGAGACCTGGAGTCCCATTGTAGTTCAACTTATTTTTGTCGTTTAGAGCCAGAATCCTCTGGGTGGTCTAGGATTGACTTTGTAATGACAAAAGGAGAAAGGGGTTGAGTTTCTAAGTACTCTGAAACACCATGCTAAATTTTGGTTATATCTAATTGTTTACATTTTCAGGGGAGGTAGAGAGAAGTTTCATTGCTTTACTTACATATTCATAGGAATCTGTGACCACAAAATGGTGAGGAACCACTGGATATAGTGTAATAAGTGTTATAAGAAATAGAAATTTCTTCCTTTGAGTCATGTAAAAAATTAAATTTAAAGAAGATGTTTGTTTCCTTTCCTTTCACTTTCCCTAATTCTGCCTTTGATGAATTTAATGTTCTTAGAGTTATTTTCCAAAACATACAGAAATGAGCAATTTGGAAAATATCCTGGACTCACAAATCAGCAAAAGGATGTCATAAATGTTCAGCACAACATTTCTGAAAGCAAGGGTAGGAATGGTGGGCTGCATAAGACAGAAAATAGTAGGGAGTAGACGCACCTTTTTACCCTTGAGCCTGGTGCTGGGCCTTTCAGCTGCCATTGTCATTTTGGATGACTGGAAGAAGGTCAGCTGCCAAACATCATGGAAAAATCAGAAAATCCCTGAAGGATGTTCAAATCTTTTACCTATGTTGGCAAGGGAAGAGGGCGCACAGCAGGAGGGTGAGTCAAAGAAACATATGAGTTGCTTTCTCAGATGATTCAATGCCTTGCCCACGTATCTTCTCTCAGCAGCTGCTTTCATCGGCTACTTCAGAGAAACATGGAAAGCCCCCATAATGCACCTCGTGAGTTCTGCCAAATAAGTGAAATTCTGGCAGAAGAAGTAAGGGGAAACATGCTCCCCAGTTGGCATTCAGCTTAGGGATAAAGTTTGATGGTCATCATATATCTTCTGTCACTTTGTTGTCTTCTCCATAGCATGACTTAGAGATTTATATTTAAATTCAAGAATCCATTTTAACTTTCTTAAAAATATACATATATATATGGGTGATGAAGTTAAGTATTTTTCAGGCCCCTTCCTGTTGTGAAATTTGTTTTTTTAAGTTGCTCAATTTCTTTCCAGAAAATATTTCAAACACTGTGTGTCTTGAGCAGATGTATTTTGCAGGTATCTTTCTGCAAAATTTTTTTATACCTTTTATATCTTATGCAGATACATGTCTCAAATTAAAATCATGCCACTCTTTCTTTGGCTCTCATGGTGATTCTTGATAACTTTAGAATTAAAGTCCTTTCAATGTGACTCATGTGAAATGAGAAGATCATAGGACAGGTGTAACTGTTTCAGGCTTTCTCAATATCTGGCAAATATATAGTAATATACACAAATGACTTTTGCAAAGAAAGTATTTCCTATTTATATGATGGTTATGGGAGCAGGGCACTAGTATTGTTTGGATCTATTACATTTCAATAAATAAGATTCTTTAAATTCTGGGCCCCAGACCAAAAATTCAAAAGAAGTCTTTTAGTATGGTTTTAATACAACCTTTATAGAAAGGCTTCTTCAGAGCAATGAAGAACCTGCTTGATCTGTCTTTTTAAACTATGTTTATGTTTATTTAGAAGTTTTGACTGATTCTGTAACATTAGACAACACTAAGATATTGGAATGTGTACCGCTTTGGTCTCTAATATGATTTCTTATATTTAGTCAGGGAGGAGGAAACTAAAGTAAATCACAAGACTACACACAAGACACAAGATTTAAATTCTGGATGTAGATATGGCTTCAGAAAGAACTGACTTCAGGTTAAGGGCACCTCTGACTAAAAGATTATATGATGTTTTTATATGATTCTAAGTCCAAATGACTCTATCATTTTTATAAACCATTCTCTGGTGAATATTCTTCAGCTTCTGCATTACAGGTTCTCTAGTCAAGCTAATTTGTTATAATAATGGGGGGGAACCATTGGCTTTGCTAATGGGAGGAGGGAAAGTGGAAGCAATAACCAGAAGCAACATCTTCCCATATAAGATACCATTTTTATCACAGAGAACACAAATGATAGCAATCTTGGGCCAGTGTAATAATATTAATTACAGTTGTAATCTTAGCTGTATAGTTGCCTTCAAGAGTAAGAAAATTAATTTCTCAATATTTCATCTCAAGCTGCTCTTAGGTTATTACATTTGAGGCAAAATAATATTACAAATAAGGCACTTAAGATTTTTGGAATGTACATGGGCCACCAATGATTTAACATTTAAAAAAATAGAGTACATACCAGACAAGAAAGGGATAAAGCTATTTTACTGGTTCAACAAAACTGAATAAAATGGAAACAGATACAAATCACTAAGACATTATTTAGTATAACTTAATTGCAATTATAAAGAATTCCACAAAAATAAACTTGAATTTAAGGATAAGTTTTACAAGCTTATGGATTATTATTTGAATTAAACATTAAGAATAAAAATTAAAACTTTGTTCTACAGGTTGAACTTGCAGCTATGCTGCCTTGCTAGTATTGAAATGAATGTGTTTCTTCAAAATTGCTTTACTGGGTTATGTCTGAAGCAGGGCAGTGTTCCTGGTGTAAGGAGAAGTTCCTTCCTGGTCCCGTCAGAATGAAGCTCTCACTACTCTGCCCTTCAGAGGCTGGGGTGGCCGGTGGTTGTGCTGAATGGGGACAGCTTTGTCACCTTCAACAGTTGATAGAAGGCTTCGGAACTGTGCCAGCTGGGAGGGAGGATGAAATATTTAAAGAATCAAAGGTTATTAAAGTTACACAGGACACTTTATTTCCAGTATTATTAATGCACTGATTTTTAGAAAACTGAGTTGCTGATTGCAACGGTCTCACCAATGGGAAGGGAGGAAGTAAAAAATCCCTTCAGATTTATTTGAACTAGGTATTTGGTTTAGATTATTAATGATGGGCTGGATTAGAATGCCAACTTTCTCAGAATGTCAACTGGGCTACTTTGGGTGAGTGACATTCTGCTTGTTACCTCAGTGTCCGTATGGTAAAATTATAATAACATTGCCTGTTTTCACTGTGCTGTGCCTTTTATTCCCATAACTTACTCATTTCATGACTGTACCTCCCACTTCCCTTCATCTATTATGCCCATCCCTAGCTCCTTCCCATCCGGCAACCATCAGTTTGTTCTCAGCATTTATGTCCTATTCTGCTAAAAATCTAGCCTATTTAGAGTGACTTAAGCTATGGCTGAAGGCTTATTTTGTGAACCACAATGTGTGATAACTTATCAGCTCTTAGGATAATCCCTTTTGCACCCCAAAATATATTCCTACCTTTTACTTAAGACGTCACCTTACCAAAAAACCCTGTCATTTAATATAGACAGATTTTTAAGAGATCCACAAATACATCAACTGGCCTATAAAACTATGGAGATGTGAAAAAAAATCACTGACTCCATCAAAAATGAAAATAATTAATGCACCTGAAAAAAAACTGGCATGCCCTCAACATTTCAATACTAAGTGTAGGTTTAATATAGGTAAGATTTTATATGGATAGTGCAGTACAAAGCAGACTCCTTAAATAGCTAATAGGAAAAAATATTAAACACTATCAGCTATTTGCCTTGGGCTGTTGTGAAGATTAAAGTGGTTAGTACATATAAAGTTCTCCGAATGGTACTCACCATGCCGCATACGCTCAGTAAGCGGCCATTACCAGTGGGCTACGTACATTGCCTGTCCTATAGGTTTGTTATGAGAATTGGTTAACAAAACCTAAGTAAGGCACCTAATGAAGGGAGTTGCTCAATCAATGGTAGTTATTAATATCACAATTATAAATAAATAATTTATAAATAATTTAAAAAGACATATCTTGGGGCCCCTGGGTGGCTCAGTAGGTTAAAGCCTCTGCTTTTGGCTCAGGTTGTGATCCCAGGCTCCTGGGACTGAGCCCCACATCGGGCTCTCTGCTCAGCAGGGAGCCTGCTTCCCTTCCTCTCTCTCTGCCTGCCTCTCTGCCTACTTGTGATCGCTCTCTGTCAAATAAATAAATAAAATCTTAAAAAAAAAGACATATCTCGGTTAGCTAATAACTAAAGCTTCAAAAGAGAATAACAAAAAAAAAAAAACCCTTTGTCAACTCTCAGGTTATGACAGTTGTGAGGCACAATTCCCAAATTCTTAGTAGAACTTCCAGTGACAATCTTTTCTTTGTTTCTGAAACTTTTAGGATGACACTTAACACAGTTGCATTTTTCCTTAATAAGGTGGAAAAGATAGCAGGAGTTCAGAATCTCCTTGTTTTTTTCTATATAAAGTAAAAAGCAGTATTATAATGCACATTTCTTTTTTATTATTTAACAGACCTATGTCAGAAATGAATCTTTTGGGGCAACTGGGTGGCTCAGTGGGTTAAAGCCTCTGCCTTTGGCTCGGGTCATGATCCCAGGGTCCTGGGATTGAGCCCCACATTGGGCTCTCTGCTCAGTGGGGAGCCTGCTTCCCCCTCTCTCCGTCTACTTATGATCCCTGTCTGTCAAATAAATAGATAAAATCTTTAAAAAAAAAAGAATATTTTTTCAGTAGGAATGGAAAACAAACTCCTCAAAAATCTATTTGAAATCATAACGTCCCCCATTAATACTATGAACTGAAGTGGTATTAGTGCTTTGCACTCCCCGTTCCACTCTTTCACCTTTGATATTCTACCTGTTCTGGGCTGATACTGATGCTGTCCTTGCAGATGATCCAGGTCACACTCTCATAAAGGGGAGGATGAGTCAGAGAGCCAGAGTAGGTCCAATAATCCAGGGATGAAGGAAGGAGAGTAGATGGGTCAAAATTGGTGAATGGGGCTCGTTTGTTCTGGAAGAAAAAAGAAAAGTAATATGTCATTATACCATGATATAAAATACATCATTATACATATATGATGTCTATGTTATATTATCTTGGCATATACTTTGTCTTGAAATTTTAGCTGAGACAAATTAATTTTTCTACTATATAGTATACACTGGTATGCTTGAAAATATAAACAATAAAAGTAATAGAAGACTGGGGTGCCTGGGTGGCTCAGTGGGTTAAAGCCTCTGCCTTCAGCTCAGGTCATGATGCCAGGGTCCTGGGATTGAGCCCCGCATCGGGCTCTCTGCTCAGCGGGGACCCTGCTTCCCCCACCCCTTCACTTGACTCTCTACCTACTTGTGATCTCTGTCAAATAAATAAACAAAATCTTAAAAAAAAAAATAATAAGTTTGCCTGTGTGGCTCAGTGGGTTAAGCCGCTGCCTTTGGCTCAGGTCATGATCCCAGGGTCATGGGATCAAGCCCTGCATCAGGCTCTCTGCTCAGCAGCAAGCCTACTTCCTCCTCTCTCTCTCTGCCTGCCTCTCTACCTACTTGTGATCTCTCTCTCTGTGTCAAATAAATAAATAAAATGGAAATGCATCCTTAAGAAAAAAAAAAACTAATAGAAGACTGAAAATTTGCAACACTGACTTTTGGCCAAATAATCATCTTCCTTCCTCATTTGGTGGAACATAAACAAAGGTTAGATAGTTTTTTAAATAATCTATCCCCTCCAAAAGATATTTCATTTCCAAAATAAAACCCTTATTGTTTCTTAGGAATGAGGTCAGATACTGTTCCAGTGACAAATCTATCATTGACATGCTTATTGGTTAAGTTTTAGCCTTCTTCTATTTATTCTTATTTTCTTTTTTGATTGTTTATGAGTGGCCTATTAATGATATCTCAGAATAATACCCTTAACTCTTGCATTTTTGTACTGCTAAAGAAGCAGAGATCATTTTCTTTGTGAAATGGGAAAAAAGGTTACATTTTAGTTGGATATGTTTTTTAAAGAAAATTTTAATGGCTATGGAACCTGTTCTCTCGATTTCATGCTGTTAAAATAGATTTACAAAATAATAATAATAATAATAACTGGGAAAAAGAAAAGAACAAAACAAATACCTGAGTCAGAGACCTTCTCAGAAACAAATAATATCTAGTAGTACCTTGATTTTTCAAATTGGCAACTTTTGCTCCAGCCTTGCTACTCCCCACATCAAATACATAATCAAATGATTTCAGTAGTTCTGTGAACTCTTGTTCTCTGATTTAAACCGATATATCTAGTCTATTGACCTTGGTTTTAACTGCGTTTAGGGCATCAAGTACTTTCTGCAGTCTTGGGTTGGCCTGATCAACCTGAAGATTAAAAAAAATAAACAAGATGTGAGTTAGAAATTGTTATAAAGTCAAACTATGTTTAGCTAATTTTTTTTCCAATTAGAAACAGTAACTGAAGAAAGGTAAGTTATTTTCTCACTGCTTTAGGAGAAGGAATTTTGCTGGGCGTATGTCCTTGTGGGCCCTTGTCCTCTATAAATTGTTCGTAACATGTAACCCCTGTCAACCTAAAAACAAGAAACCAGCTCAAGAGGCAAAGTGTTTATTTGAGACCAAAGAACTGCAATTCGTGGTACACATGTTAGGGTAGAAAGCCAAACAGCCTTCCAATTACAGGACATAGACTCAAGGATTTTATAGAAGAAAAGGGAGATCAAGTCAGTGGTTTTGAGAGGAGTTCGTTGGTGCTGACAAACAGGAAGGGCATCCGTACTTCACTGATGGGTCATATGAAGTGGGCACTATGCAAAAGTTCAGTTTTATCAGATCTCTCAAATAGGATACTCTTGTTCTTGCTGACTTCTCAGAATGTTGGTGGTTTGGCCCAGTTCAAATGTTCAGAAAGCAGGGTGTGCAAGACAGTTCTCTTGGAAATGCTACTATGGCTCCATTTTAAAATGGCTCTCTGTGTGTCATTTTTCATAGCACAGAGAAAGTGGCAAACAAAAAGCTCAGTTTTAATTTAATATGGGCAAGATGTTCAAGGATATACAAGTCAAAATCTAGGAACTTAGCAAAACTGTGACAAAATACAACCTCTTACTTTTGGCCTGTTTTATTAGTTATAATTGGTACAGTGTATAATGTGTTGTAAGTGTCCAATAAAGGTTAACTAGAATTACTGTAATTCCAAAAGTTAGCCACCTAAGTGTGACCTTTATAATAAGAAACATGTTTATGACACAGAGCTCCTAGAACCCTCAGAATTTCCTAAGTGATGAGAGCGATAAAGTTGTCTTCTCTTATGTTAATTAGGGGACTTAAGGACTGAATCTGAGGATGAGGGCTGGTCACCAGGAGAACCAACCATGTGATTAGAGGGTTGGAACTTTCAGTTCCACCCTCAGACCTTTGGGATGGGAGAGGGGATAGGGGCTAGAACTTGAATCAATGGCCAATGGCCAATTGAGTAAATAATGAGTAAACTGACAATGAGTAAATAATGAAGTCACCATAAAAACCCAAAAGGACTGGATATAGTTTCCAGATTGGTGAATTTGGGGAGATACAGGAAAAACAGTGTGCCTGGGCAGGGCAAGGAAGCTCTTTGCCTTTCCCCATATCTTCCCTTATTCATCTTTTCCATTTGGGTAATGCTGAGTTATATTCTTGTATAACTAACTAGTAATCTAGTAAGAAAAATGTTTCTCTGAGTTCTGTGAGCTATGCTAGCAGATTAATCAAACCTCTTCAAACCCAAAGAAGAAGTCTTGGGAACCTCTGATTTATAGTCAGTCAGGCAGAGGAGCACCTAACAAACAGGTCTTGAGAATGATATCTAAAGTAGGGTGGGGGAATTGTAACCTTTGCAAGTCTGAACGCTTAGCCTGGGGAACCTAACGCTATCTCTGTGTAGACAGTGTGAGAATTGAGTTGAATTCCTGAACACGCTGCTGGTGCCCAACAGTTGCTTGTTAGTGGTGGGGGAGGGAGGGGAAAACTGCACATTGGGATTTGGTGGGTAGAACTCAAAAAGATCCAAGTATACCCAATTTAATAAGAACTTCCCTACAAAACTTTTCAGGGACACTCCTATAGAGAATTTAAGTAACATCTGCCACTTTAAACATTAACTGAACTTTCTTCATGGAAAAACAATCCTCTTAATATTTTCCCCCAATGATACATTAATTTGATAATAAGTTCAGAGGAAAGGGAATTTGGAAAATAGAAACTCCCACTCCACACCTCCACATTCTATTCTTACCTGAAAAACTTAATTCTCTCTTGAAAAGGGAAAGGCCAAGAGAAAACTGTAGCAAAATACCATAGCCATTAGTAAAATGGAAAATTTTTAAGAAGAAAGACGCAAATGTCTTTCTGCCTTATTTTATGCTATTTTGATGTTTGATTGGTAAGAAATAGTGTTAGCCGAGCTCTGTAACTCTCTGTAACTCACCTTCATCAAAACACCGATAATTGCCAAACCATCAGCCTGTGAGATAGCTTCAGCAAAGCTGGAGTACTTTGTAGAATTCCAGTGAACTAGGTGAAACTAAAAATGATAATGTGGTCAATTAGTTATTTATACCATTGTGAAGACAAAAAATTATAAATTAACTTGTTAATATATGAAGATGTGTCTTGGCTTAGATAACATTTATGTGAACATTTATCTAGTGGATAGGAAAGGTTATCTTCTCACTTTGTAGAAGGATTGTGTACATTGAATAGAGTAAGCAATTTGCAATTTCCATGAAACCAGTGAGTAAAGTTTCTTTTCCCAAAATATCGTAACTCTTCAATATTACTCCTTTTTAAAAATTGCTTTTGTATGGAAAGGCAAGGTATTCCAACTAACTAGCTTTCAACAGATCTGAAATATCTTCTGTCAGGCGAGGTCCTTTTTTTAGCAAATTTATGGGAAGGGATTCCTGGACAGTCTAGGAATCTTGGCATTTTCTTAAGCACCTCTAGACACCTGTCAAGACATTATCTCTAGCCTAAGCTCTCTATGGAACTCTAGATATGAATATCCAGGATGTATGTTTGTCATCTTATTATCTTCTTGATATCCCCACATGGATGTCTAACAGGGTTTTCAAACTTAGTATGGCCAAAGTACAACTCTTGATTTCCTCCTTGCCAAATCTGTTTCATTTTCCTATCTGTGGAAAGATACCACCATCTACTAACTGCTCCATCAAAAAGTAAAATAGTTACCATTAATTTCTTACTTTCCCACTTATCAACAGCCATCTCTCAGCACATCTCATAGATTAAAATTCCTTACTTGGTTCACAACTTCAAGTCTTTGCATTAGTTGCTGATTTTCTTTGGAATGTCCCTCCCTATAATCTGTCAATGGCAGCCTTTTGTCTTGAATTAGGGCTGAACACAAATGCCAATAAAAGAATCTTTTTCTGACCTCCCAATGTAAAGTGATTAATCATATCACTTTAAATTAATTAATTCTCTACATACCACTTAATCTCTCTCGCTTGCTCTCTCTCACTTTTCCTTCACTTTCCTCCTCCCTTCACCCCAACTCCTGCTCCCCTCCCATCTTCCCTCCTGTCCTCAGTTGAATGTTGAATTTTGTGGCTAAGTGCCTCTCATCTCTAGCCTGGATTATTTTTATCTTTCTTAAATTAGATGAGGAGATTTCTGACTTAGACTTCTTAGGTGCAACCAGATATGCCTCTAAAAAGATAGTATTAATTTAGGCTCCCAGCCCATTTGACTTTAGTCTACTTTCAATTTTTTAGGGAAAAAGGGGAAGAAACATTTAATGGATTTCTTTAGTATTAAAAGTTATTAGCCAAGCTTTACAATGTAACATAAAGCCAATTATATTTGTGTAAATTTCCCAAATCTTCTATTAAAGTAAAAAAATGCACATATGCTGTAACCTAGCAATCCCTCTTATAAAAACATCTGTCCTACTTATGTGGTTTCACTAGTGCTTAAGGTATATGTACAGATGTATTTGTTGAAGCACATTCTGGTAAAAGTAAAAAACCAGTAGAACAAAAAGCAAAGGGCATTGTAATTGTCCGCCAGTGGGGGCTAGTTAAATAAATTCCAATGTTTATATATTGAAATAAAATTAAGAGAATGAGAATTAAAAGAATGAGGTAGAATTAACTCTATTAACTTGGAAAATGATAATGATAAATTGGTAAGTAGAAAAAGAGGCACGAAACTACATGTATTATAAATTTGTTTTTGTAAAAGTAAAAAAAAAGTCAATCTGTATATATGGGTATATATACATATATATATATTTAATATTCATACATATAAAGAGCAAAAATTCTCTTCCAATCTCCCAGAAGCTTTATTGATAGATTGATATAAATATTCTTGATTTTTGTATGTGTATATAGACAAAGTGTCTTGAGAGGGATCGCTGACTTCCACGGGAGGACAATTCAAGTGGCTGGAGGTTGGTGGCTTATAGCAAGAACTCTCAGACCCTCATTGAGGTGTATGCTACTCTCTGTGTCCATTCCTATGATTAAACTTGCACTCTTGGTAGAGTCTTACTGAAGTGTTCCAGCCTGGCCACACCCATGCCACCAGTGTGTCCTAACTTGAATATTTGAATAAGAAGCAAATGGTATGGTTAGTTTAGAATTAGAGCTTTAAAGGAGAGCAGCACCTCCTCTTGAGGCTAGCCTAATGTTAAGATAACAGTTTTTTGAATCATTTTGAAGACAGAGATGATTCTTGGGCTCAGGACATCAACTCCAGGTTACCTTTTTCACATGAAAAATTTCCTTCTATTACCAAACTTGGTATGTATGCGCTTGATTTTATTTTTATTTATTATTTATTATTATTATTTTTTTAAAGATTTTATTTATTTATTTGTCAGAGAGAGAGAGGGAGAGAGAGCGAGCACAGGCAGACAGAATGGCAGGCAGAGGCAGAGGGAGAAGCAGGTTCCTTGACGAGCAAGGAGCCCGATGTGGGACTCGATCCCAGGACGCTGGGATCATGACCTGAGCCGAAGGCAGCTGCTTAACCAACTGAGCCACCCAGGAGTCCCTGTGCGCTTGATTTTAATGGGGCCTGGGAATTCCTTATAGGGATGAGAATCCTCATTCCTTTGGAGCCATTATAAGGGTGACTTATGTAATAAAGCAGCTGCTTCTGAAAGTAATTCTCAGTGTATTTATCTCTTCTCACTTACTAAGTTACATTACCTCTCCAGAATATTTGACTCCATCCACTGTATGTTCAGAACCATAGTCATTTGTGCTGCCCCAGTGAAAATGGAACTGACAGAGCCTATAGCTTTCAGAAAGAGGACCACCTCTCAGCACTAGAAAAAAAAAGGAACCATTATTAGTTTTATGATCATAAGCTCCTGTTTGTTGTTGCATTTAACATAAGCCAACAATAAATTGGATTAAGTAGAACTGAAAACAAACACTAGTGCCAAAGTTTTTTCTTGTTGGATTCCCCCTAACAACTATGATAATGGTGTTCATATGTATGGTGTGTCTCTGAGCATTGATTGCATTGAGTAATATACAGTTCTCAGCACACGAGCTGTAATTTTATCGTTTCCTTTTTTCGTTGTTGTTGTTTTTTGTTTTCTTTTTTTAAAGTAAACTCCACGTCCAGTGTGGAACTCAGCATGGGGCTTGAACTCACAACCCAGAGATCAAGACCTGAGTTGAAATCAAGAGTTGAATGCTTAACTGACTGTTATCCAGGTGCCCCTAATTTTACCTTTTTCTGTTGCCAAGGAAGTATATGGGAAGGTGAGTGAATTATAGTTTTACAGGGCTTACCTTGAATCTGCTTTAATGTGCAAGTTCATTCATTCTTTCAACAAAGACTATATAGACAATATGCATTAAGATCTTTAATAATTTATTTTGAGTAACAAGTTACACATGACATACTTTGTAACTAGTCAAGTAACTAGTCAAGACACTATGAGTATCTTGACACCTTTGTGGAGAATGCCTGTGCAGGGATGAAGAGAAAGTGCCAGGGGGGCACTGGGGTCACTCTAAAAATTTCAACATTGAATGACTGTGTCATTTTCAGCGTCTATGTAATCTTATGACTAATTAAACACTCATAACACTAGATCTAATTTAATGTTAAAAAATGGACATACCCCCACGTTGCCTAAAATTTAGGCTCAGAACCTTGTAGGAAAGAGGTAAAACAAGTTTTGCCTTTTGTCAGTAGAACTGTCTTATGAAATTGTCATTTAATAAAATTTTCAAGAAACATTTATGAAAATCTTACCATGTAGCAGGAAATGTGCTAAGTTCTGGGGTATGAAGAATTCAATCACTACAGTCTAGTAGGGGAGGGGGAGATAGATAAGTGTACTTATGCACAGAATAAATCTTGCAAGATTTATGTAAGACTCATTTTCTTACTAGTACCCAAGCACTTTACAATGATAGAGTCATTTTTCTGGATACCAAAAATAAATTCTTCAGTCCATTTGTCTTTCTTACTGTGTTCCTCCATCCTCATTCCAATTAGAAAATATTTGCCTTTTCAGTTTCTATATTCACTATGATGGATCATTAGATCTTCTTGGAAAAAAATACTGTTTATTCAAAAAGTATGAAGTGAGTATAAAGATATTAGAGACCAGAAGAGATAGGATGGTGTCATGGATGAGAAGGGCTGAAAAAAGACAAAGCTGGGAGTTCCAAAAATCATCTTTATCACTTGCGGGTTTTCCAGAAGTCCAAAATGCTTCACCAGATTGCAGCAAATTTACACACATGCACTACACATGTGACAGAAGACTGAGGATGGCATTTGTGTTTCTTAAAGTCCTATTGTTTAAATTTTCTTAGTAGGGTCAAAGAAAATATAATCAGAAGGGTCTTTTCGCTCACCTGATCGGTTATCATTGTCCTCATAGATTACATGGAAAGAATGCCCCACGTTGATAATTTCTTTGGCTGTGGCTGGATCATAGGAGATACTAATAGGTTTAAGAGAGGTGTCATGTTTCGTTTCACTCGTTTTAATATCAATGGGAGATTGCTTATTTCCATTTGCAATGGGATACAGCTTGCCCCATTGTTCAGGACCTACCAAGGCAAACACATGCATACAATCAAAACTTCATCAAATGTTTGACTCCCCGTTTTATGACTCCCAGTAAGCATTTGCTTATTAGATTATGATTTATTCAAGTATCTTAAATGGTATTCTGTTTTACTTAATATAAATTCAACATTTGAGAATGCATCTTTTCTATACTCTTATAAAATATTTGTCAACAAAACTATAAATATTTTACTATTAGTACTAGATTTATAATATATATAGCATAAATGTGTTGTATATTAATATATGTACACATATACATATGTTATATATTACAGATATATATATTAGTACTCTATATAATATATTATATACTATATATAATATATCTGTATACATATTAGTACTCTTTCTTTCTCTCTCTCTATAAATATATATATATATATATAGTACTCTCTCTATATATGTGTATATATATATATAGAGAGAGAGAGAGAGAGGTTGAGAGAGAGGAAGAGACAGAGAACACATTTTGTAGACAACCATATCCCAAAGGACAAGTGCTAAGATTACATGTAAAGTTATTATAATTATTCAAGTCAGTCCATTCAAACCATTAACCTATGACTATATAGTTACTTTATTTTATTTATTTTTTTAAATGCTCTATACCCTTTTTTGTTGGGAAAAGCAATGAGCTATTATTTTGATCTACATGAAGCAGAAGCACATTACCGTTTTTGTCGTCATATCCCCAGTTGGAACTCGCCATGATCTTCTACTTAGTTTTCTTTTCTGCAAACAAAGATAATACCTGGAATAACTGTCTGCAAGCCAGCATGCAGTAAACAAGTCAAACCGCCACTTGTGGGTTTTTATAGGAACTTCTCTGCCTTTAATAGGCCACTATTTCATCATCTCTGCCTATCAGGAAGTATAGATAAGTTAAAAAAAAAAAAAGAAGAAGAAGAAAGAAAAGAAAAAAAAAAAAGAAAGTCATAAAAAAAGCCCACAAAGGTCAGATCAGTTCCAATTATTTTATTTTCTTATATTGTAAGGGAGAAATATCAAAATTGTAGGTTTTATAAAACCAAGCCCTGTTTCTCTCATGTTAGTAAATGATATGGCTGAATATTATCATATATGAGTCTTTGGGTTTCCTAAATTCAAAATGGATTTGTGCACTTGATATTTCCAATGTTACCCTTGCTTGAACTTAAGCAATACTACCGACAGTATTTTAGTAAGGAGAATAATTCATACATTTACAGGATGATTGTAACTAATATCATGATGTTAATTTAAAATCAGATAACAAAATTACTAACTCTTTGTGATGTATATTATCCATAAAGTACATTTTCATAGACCCACAGGATGAAAATAAAGTCCTTCATTTTAGAGCAATATTGGAATTCATAAGTGGAGACAGTTTTATTAATATTGAAATTGAATATAGCCCAATATTTATTTACACATCAAATTCAGCTCTCCTGGAATAGGAAACTTTCTTTTGTATACTTCTTCATGATTTTTTTTTTTCAAAGACTTTATTTATTTATTTATTTATTTGACAGTTAGAGATCACAAGTAGGCAGAGAGGCAGGCAGAGAGTGAGGAAGGGAAGAAGGCTCCGCACTGAGCAGATAGCTGGATTCAGGGCTCGATCCCAGGACCCTGAGATCATGACCTGAGCCGAAGGCAGAGGCTTTAAGCCACTGAGCCACCCAGGTGCCCCTTCTTCATGATTTTTAAAGCAATTTCACCACCACCACCACCACACACACACACATACACACACACAAATCCTATCGAGTAAGAATTACCATTTTGTAGTTGAGAGATATTGAGGGACTTCTCCACAACTAGCAAGAAGCCAAGACTTCACCAGCTCCATGTCCAGTTGCTTTCTTCAATATACCCACTGTGCGAGCTATGAGATGGGTGATCCCTTAATTCTCCTCTTATACCTACAATTCTCTTAAGCCCAACCTAAGCCTGAACCAAGGTGAGAATTGCCACCTGGTGAGTGATAAGATCTACTGGGATTTCCAAGTAGGCAAAGAAAACCAACTAGGATGTGTTAGACTCTGGCTAGGTCCACACACCCAAGGCTCTAAACATGCTCAAAGAAAATACAAGCAGAAAAATGAGCTTTCATAGTAATGTTTTTTCATACCGTGGTAGTCATTAACTCCTTTCACGTTCTACAGTTGTCTGGGGTGCCTGGGCTCCCTGAAGGAAGAGGAAGATTCGGTGTAATTTTTAGCAAGGCTGACCAGAGACACAGTGTTTGTCCCTTTTTGGCTAATCATGGTCAGCTGCCCCAGACACAGAGTGGACTATGGCTCGTGAACGTTGTGGAGAGAGGTCTAAGCTCCTGTTTTAGGAGGTAGAAGGAACTATTATTTAAAGGGAAATTTTTTTGGGGGGTACTATTTATTGAGGGCCCAGTATATCTTAAATGCTGTGCTGAAAACTTTATATGCATTAATTCATTAAATTCTCACAAAAACCAAATTAGGCATTAAAATCTGTCTTCTGCCTAAGAAGAAGGCTTTATAGAGGTGAAGACATATCCTAGGGCTACAAATTATAAATGGCTGCTCACATCCCATAAACCTAGAGTTTAAATCTAGACCTGTTAATGAACTCCAGAGCTTTTACTCTTTCTTTACAGTCCACTGCCAGTAAGTGCCCAATGACCTCCACTTGATTCTCTTTTCTGGACGATCGGATTAGTTGATGTGTTCTGGTCTGGCTCAAGATGACCATTAGCCAAAATCCTTGATTGTTGGGTTCACTTCATTCCAGACTGTGAGTCTCAGTTTAGCCAAAAGCTGTAAAAGGCACACTTTGCTTTGTACTTGCTTCCTAATAGTTGCTATCTTGCTAAAGATAACTAAAAGCAGAACCACTATATTGATCAGCATATTTGAAAGACGTATTTGAAAAAGACGACCTCTTTTCATTATATGATTATGTGGTGATTCATCACATACATATTTTAACATTCATATGGGATGGGAATTCCTTTAAAGTTTTTGGCACAAAATTACTTTGAGCCCTAACTATTATGATCTTTTGTTCCAATACATACCTGGGTGTATGTACACAAACAAGGAGAAACTATATAGAGAAAGGATGGAAAATTGAATGAATACCTGTGGTTTGAGTCCTAACACTTCACTCCTTTACTTTTATCCCCCTTTTTCTGCTTACAAACTTTGCCTCTTTCAGCTTAATATCCCGACTCAATCCAAGATGTCTCATTTTGCACTCATTTCACTTTCACCTATAGCCTCCCACCCACGCCATGTGCCATTTCAGGGTTGTGATCCTTGCACTGCTTTTGCATACCGAGGAGTTCAATCTACACAGCTTCTGATCTTCTAAACTAACACTTTATTTCCTAAGGCCGTCAAATATTGAAGAAGACTATTTGTTTTTCCTGATAAAATACTCTAGATAAGTCTAAACATACTTAAAAATGAATCAGGAACAGCTAGGCTGATGGAAAAGTATTTTTTAAAGAAGTAATGCAAAAGTACATAAGTAATTTTCGTAGAGAATTGCTTAAGTAATAACATTAAGAAGTATCAAGTCATATGTCAATTATATCTCAATAAGGCTAAGAAAAAATAAAAATAAAAAATATTTTAGCACTTTAGAGATTTTTAAATGTTGAAAGTATGAGGCACAGAAGGTTTAATTTAATAATTATATTGGTTCAGTTCAAAAATTTGATGAAAACGTACTAATGGGGGAGAAAAGAAAACTTTCCTTCATTACCTTATGAAATGGAATTTTAGAGGCCATATGTTATAGAAAAAAAAAAAGATGAAACATTAATTATCCTAAGGGGATCCACCCTTAAACTCTGTGCTACAGTTTTATCTCTTGACCTTCTTAATAAATAAAATTCATGTAATAAACAAACAAAAATATCAACTGTGCTGGAAGATTGACTGTTACTGGAAGAAGTGTTTCCCGGAGCATTCATGCTAGGGGTAGTAGGCTGGCTAGAAAAGACTTTGTATAAAGAGCAATTTTCATCTGCCAAGTCTTTGAAATAGTGACCTCCTTTGATCCTCACAGTAGACCCAGTGGTTAAGTTAGTCTCACATCACTTTTTTTTTTCCCCAAGATTTTGTTTATTTATGAGACAGAGAGAGAGAAGAGCATGAGTGGGGGAAGGGGCGGAGGGAAAGGGGCAAGCAGATTCCCTACTTAGCAGGGAGCCCTACACGGGGCTCAATCCCATGAGGGGCTCTATCCCAGGGATCATGACCTGAGCTGAAGGCAGATGCTTAACCCCTGCACCACCCAGGTGCCCCTTACCTACCTCACTCTTAAAGAGAAATAACTGAGGGTCACAAAACTCAAGGAGAAGAACCAGGATTTAAACCCCTTTCTGATTACCTTGAAAGCCCGTGTGTGCTTCTTCTTCCCTGTGCCATCATGCCTTTAACAATCTGCCTATAAACATTTGTTTTAAAGTCAGCTAATTATTACGTTTATTTATTGAGCAACATCAATTAACTTAGATGAAGATTTTTCAGTGCCCTGAATTGTTTTTCAAAAAACCAGCATCATTTCCTAGGTGTTTTACAAAATTTAGATACCATTTTTAGCCGATTTTACATTATATTTTAAAGTCTTAGCATTTCTTATTTGAACTTTTCCCTTCTTGTTTCCTAAATGAACATTTTCTTCTGATTGCTTCTTTAACATTTTTAAAGCTTAAGATGTAGGTGAAGAAATTGTAGGGACTCTCGAACTTAAGTTTGTAATTAAAAAGAATTCTCTGATGTAGAAGGATGTAAACTTGGGAAGACTGTGCCTCGTATGGTAGAGATCTGCTAAATGTCACTGGAAAGAAATTCCAAAAGGATATAGCTGTTCTCTAAAGCTTAGAGTTCCAACAAGGACAAGTGGCTTCCGTGGGATCCCTATTTCCCCCCAAATAAGGAAATCAAGTGTCATTTTTATTTTTTAAAGATTTATTTATTTATTTATTTATTTTTATTTGAGAGAGAGAGAGAGAAAGAGAGAAAGCATGGGTAGGAGACGGGCAGAGGGAGAGGGAGAAGCAGACTCCCTGCTGAGTGGGGAGCTCCATCCCATGTCCTTGGAATCATGACTTGAGCCGAAGCCAGACGCTTAACTGAGTGAACCACCCAGCTGTCCCTCAAATTTGGCACGACTCTCACATCGCTTTCTCACTTCCCTGCCCCTCCAGAAGGGGTACTGTTCAGGGTGGCAAGATAAACCTTGTATCTAGTGGAGAACAGGGTCATGCAGAATGGTGATACTCGCTCAGATGTTTCTGCAGTAAGACAACTGGAAATTCTGATCTATCAATTTTAGTGGTTTATCTGGACCTCACAGCTGTCATTTCCCCCAAACTGGTCTTTCTCTCCTCTTGTAGCAAAATGTCTTACCAACTTTATTCTTTCCAGGGGATGTCTTTATTTTCATCCATATTAAGCCTGTTTGCCTGTTTAAAAACCTTTGCATCTGCTGTCCCCTCTGTCTGGATTGTTCTGTATCTAGACTTCCACACAAGATCACCTCCTCAGAGACCATTTTTACTGACCTCCAGATCCAACACATCTCTCCTCTTCTCAGTGACTCTGTTATATCATTCTGTCTTCTTTCGTTGATACATGTTTTTTGCAGCCTGACACTGTTTGCGTTCTGAAATTTATTTATTTATTTCCTTAATGTCTATAACCATCTCTGTAATGACACCTCCATAATGATAGGTCTGTTATAGGTTTTAAAACCCACTGAATTCACTTACAACATGCCTGGAAAACAGTGGTGCTCAATAATCTTTCACCAAAGTGAAAGGAGAATGATCA